CCCTCCCAGCTATATCAGCCAGGAAGAAGTAATTGAACCACCTCCTGCCTCAATATACACATTTCTACATAAAACATTATAGAGGAATAAAAGATGAGAGTGACCTACCAGCTCCACTAAGAACCTGGCAGGCCTCTCCATACAGTGTACCTTTAGACTAACACAACTAACACTTAACTAACACCTCAAAAAAAAAAAATGTGACTACCCTCCCAGTTACACAAGGACCTGGGCGGGCTCACTAACTCCAACAATAATAAAAATAATAATAATAAGCAGCATTATATAAATAAACCAATATTAATACAAAGGTCTGACGACCCAAGGGAGCAGAACAAAGACAAAACACCAATAAGAAAGATGAAGCGATCTGGTTGAGCCCAGATTCTTTCTACTCCTACTGTATTTCAGTTTCACCACTTTTCCTTCAACCCCTAATAATCTTCTTTCACCTCTTAACTAAAGACTTCGTATCGTATCGTAGGGACTATTATTGAATTTGAAATTATTATAGATCGTTTATCAGTCTGAATAATGTTACTGGTGTCCCAAGGAGTTATTAGTTAGGCGGAAAATATGTCACGTAGGCCTAAGCTGACGCCTTGAGAGACGCGACGCGGGCCCTCCCTGAGTCATGGAGAAGCATTCAGACATACAGTACAAGACGTCCCTGCGCGTCCGTCACAGAAATAGTCACGTGGCCTAGTCACCTGTGCTGCGCTATTGCAGTATAACAAGTAAGTTTCATTCAATCTCAGACAGGGTTTAGATAGGGCAGTGGTAAAGTTAACTAGAGCTAACAGTGAGTTCATTTCAGGGTTTCCTTCAGAACCCACTTGACCGGACTTGACCGGAGTTGACCGGAGTTGACCGGTGTTGACTGAGAGAGATTGACTGCCGTTTGAGACTGCCGTTGATGATTGAGGGTGGCGATTGTCGCCATTGGACCGATCAGTGTAGGCCTGTCACTGTTTAGCGGGGTAGCAAAGGATCTCTTGAGTGAACGAGTGCTCCCGACAACTAAAACGACACGGGACCAGCATCAGCAGTGGGCGATCAGTTCTTACCACTCGGGTGCACAACACCACGTGTCCTCGGTCAGCTAGAAGTGTTACCTACTGGCCGTAGACACCTGCTGGCGTTCTCTCTTCCTGCCCATGGACGCACTGGGAGTACACTGAGGCTATCTGAGTAAATTAATGGTCACACACTGAGACCGTGAGTCTAGGACTCTAGGAGATACCTAGAGGAACATTTTATCTCCCTTATTACGGGTGTAGTTAATACCATTTCTCAGACTGATATTATCTGACGTGTGTAGTTTAATATTTCTTAAATAATTTTGATAGTAGTGTTTTTTGAATGTTTGTGTCATTAAGTGGAACCAGAGTGATACTGGGGTTTGATTCTTTTAATGCATCTAAATTTTCTCCATAATTCTGATCTCAGGTATAACCTTTGTTCCCCAGAGTAGTGTTTAAGTTAGGTTAGGAAGAGTGCATCTGTTGGGGTGATATAATTTTGTTGAGTGCCCTTAAGGCCTATTCATTGTAGAGTATTTAATTTCTTATTTTTAATACCATTTCCTAAATGACTGATATTATTTTGTGAAAGCCCTTAAGGCCTGTTTCATGTGTGCAAGCAACATTTCTTAATACTTCAAATTTATTGTTGCCTGAGTTTCTAATAATTTCTATATCATGTATAACTTTTATTCCCCAGAGTAGTGTTTTAAGTTCAAGTTAAGAGGTGTGCATATTGGTGTACCATTATTTGTTTGTGTTTGTAGTGTTGGAGGGAATATAAGTGTCTAAATTTTACAGTGTGTCTCATTCATCCCAGTCACAGACGCTATCCTTCCACGGGTCACGGACAATTCATTTTGTTTAGTAGATTTAAGTGTTCGTGTGCTGGTTCGGGATTTTTCTCAAAGGGGCGCTTCCACTGCCATTACCATCTTATAATCTTTAATAAACCCCAAGTCAAGTGAGAAAATAAAGTCCAGTAAATTCCGACCGGTTACATATATATATATATATATATATATATATATATATATATATATATATATATATATATATATATATATGTGTGTGTGTGTGTGTGTGTGTGTGTGTAATATTCAGAAATTTCAGTGTGATGTTTAGAGACGTGAATGCCAATAATGGAGATACTGAGTCATTCAAGGTCGTCTGAGTGATGGTGGCGCTGCCCGTACGTAGTGAGAGCTTTTGGATTGCACCCATATAATATTAAGTATACTCTGGCGACTTAATATGGACGTGAATTATAAATTTAAATGACAGTTATTAAATTAAATAATTATTCTAAATCATTTCCCAGTCTAAATATGTTATGTAAGCCCCAATTAAGCTATTAGTTGTGCGGAAAATAGGTCCCTAGCCAGGTGGACGCCTTGCGGGAACACGCCTGGCTGGCTCAGTCACATAGAGGCGGTCTTATTGACAGGATGCCTGTGTGCATCCAGGGAAATGACCACGTGGTCTTGTCTTCTTTGTGTACGGCATCAGTATTATCAAGTAAGTTTTATTCGATCTCAGACAGGGATTAGATAGGACGGAGGAGAAGTTAACAATAGCTAACAGAGGATATATTGCAGGGATTCTGTAGGGCCCACTCAGTCGAAGTTGAGCTCATCTTGAGCGGTAGGCCCACGCGGTCTTGAATCTATGCAGTCTTGAGCAGTTTGAGGGTTGGAGTACAGCCAGCTGTCTGTGTGGATAATTAACGACGTGGGACCATCGTCCGCCCCCAGTTGACGATCGTTTGAGGTCACCAGATCTCCTCCATCTCGTTTCACACTACCACATATCTTCAGGCAGTTTAGTGAAAACCTCTTACTAACAGGAAAATAGAACCCCCCTTAGCTGAACATATTCAGTCGCTGACTGGCCCCACTCTCTTCCGTTTTCATGGACGTACTGAGTGTAAACTGAGGCTATCTGAGTGAATGAATAGTCACACACTGAGACCAGGTGTCTAGTGGGTACTTAGAGAAACATTTTTATCTCCCTGTAGTATGGGTGTATGCTGAGTTTGTGTGAAGCATGTTACGGGAAATAATTTAAGGTGTGTTTAGAATTTCGTTTAGTCCAGATGTGAGAACAACGCTCCTCATGGTTGATTTTTCACACGTGAGACATAAGAATTCATATCCAAAGTTATTAAGGGCTTGTTAGTGCCTTAAGAAAAATACGTGTACATGCCGATCCTATGTGTGAGGTTAAGGAGCATGTTTCACGGGTATTGGTGGAGAAAAACATTCATGGCTCTTCAGTTCTACAGAAAATACTAACAAAATTAAAACCAGGGAAACCCGCATGCCTGATGGGTCATGAGTGATATTCTCAGGGGTTTTGTAAAATGCCAGCCTCCTTGGCTGGTTAGTAGTTACGCCCTTCGGGTTATTTGGCCAGTTGGGATTTTAGTAGTTGTGGGTCATTCCAGACAGGCGATGATTGATCCACGTGTGTAGCTAATAAGTTCTTACTATGTTTTACCTCAGTTTTCAGGGACTGATATTATTTTGTTAAGTGCCCTTAAGGCCTATTCATGGTGGAATTAATAATTTCTTAATGTTTCATGCCATTTCCCCAGCGCTTGATAGTATTGTTTTCTAATGTTTATGTGCCACTAATTGATGTCAGATAGTGAGGGAACGGTTTTCAGATGAGGTTCCTCCTTTTTGTTGTAAGTAATACCGTTGATTTAGTTCCTTTAATGCATTTAATATTTCTTAATAATTTTGATATCATGTATAACTTTTGTTCCCCAATGTAGTGTCTTAAGCCAGGCTAAGAGGTGCGCATATGTTAGAGTACCATTATTGATTTTGGTTGTAGTGTTGGAGGGAATAGAAGTGTCAAATTTTACAGTGAGTCTCATTCACCCCACTCACAGGTGCTATCTTTCCACGGGTCATGGAGAATTCATTTTTTAGTAAATTGTGTTTGTACTGGTTCGGGTTTTTCTCCAAGGGACGCTTCCACTGCATTTCCATCCGCTAATAATAAAAAACCCTAAATCAAGTGAGAGAATTCCGACCGGTTACACACACACACACACACATATAGGCCTACATATATATATATATATATATATATATATATATACACACATATATATATATATATATATATATATATATATATATATATATATATATATATATATATATATATATATATATATATATATATATATATATATATATATATATATATATATATATTTATAAACATAAGAAAATAAGGAGTCTGCAATAGACCGGTTGCCCTGCCTCCTTTTAAAACTTTTTAGCGTTCCAGCACTTACCACAAAGTTGCTAAGCTTGTTCCACCCGTCCACTACCCTATTTGCGAACCAGTTCCTTCCTGTCTCCCTCCTAAACCTAAACTTATCCAACTTAAATCCGTTGCTACGAGTCCTATCCTGCTCGGATATTATAAGAACTTTATCTATATCTCCTTTATTGATTCCTTTCACCCACTTAAATACTTCTATCATATCTCCCCACACTCTTCGTCTTTCTAGGGAATGCAAGTTTAGTTTTTTTAATCTATTTTAATATGGAAGGTTTCTAAGTCCTGGAATCATTATCGTCATTCTTCGTTGCACCGACTCCAGTGAATTGACATCCATTCTATAATAAGGGCACCAGAACTGAGCAGCATAATCGAGGTGCGGCGTGACTAGCGCAAGATATAGTTGCGATAAGACCTCTGCACTCTTATTACTTACACTTCTAGATATAAAACCTAATACTCTGTTTGCCTTATTTCGAACATTAACGCACTGTTTTCAAGGCGTAGGTCCGGGCTTACAAGTACCCCTAAGTCTCTTTCACAAGTCGACTTCTCTAGTCGCGCGTGTGTGCGTGCGTGTGTGTTTAATAATAATAATGGTAAAATAAAAAGAATAAGAATTAACGGTTTATTGAAAATGGTACAGCAACCAAAGGCTAAAAATATACAATGGGCAGGAATTATTTATTACATACAGTGGCATGGGGGTCAGTTAACAAAAGCTTTCATTACAAAAAGAAAATGAGAGAAGGTGAGAAAACAAATTATTGTTTGCAGTGGATGGACGGGGCAGGTCTCTTGCCCTTCTTTGTAAGGTTAGGTAGGCCACTGAGGCGTTGAACAGCAAACACGTGTTGCAGTAACTCGTTCAAAGGTATTACCATGATAGACCTCACATAATGTCATAGCAATTTGTTCATTACGTGCATCACACTGCCATGGAGACCCCATGTGGTGTCATGGGAACACTGCATGGTGTGGTGTTACAGTACCTCGCTCACTGCCATGTGGTGTTGTGGCACCTTACAGTTAGGTATGAGGGTCCGACCCTCGGCAGCAGCCAAACTTCCCAGCACGGACTGATTAGAGCCTTGCCGCATGGTCAGCAGGAATTATTGGTTCTCATGGACATTTCTCTGTGGGTATCGTAGGAACTTACTGGTGGGTGTGTAAGTTAACTTGGCCACAATGCTCAGCTGTTACTGTTTAGTGTTTATTTCACTGGCTTTAAACACTGCTCCTCGCCGTTGAACACTGATTCCACTCCAATTCCAGACGAAAACGTCACTTTTGGCGGGAATGCTGATATTTAAGTTAAATTAATTCGAACAGTTGGGTAATATGTACCTTTACGGACAAAATTCCGTCGAACTAAATATCTTGCATCTACTTTAGGTTCATATAAGGAGCTAAGGATTTTAAAGTGTATATTGTGGTCAAATTGAGGATTTAGGAATTATTTTTTGAGGGGGATGAAGAAGTTGTTTATTGTTCTTATTGCTGGAGAATATATATGGCCATTTTACAGTTGAGGAAGTTAACTGACCATTTATTGGTTGAGGAAGTCATTTGGTGGAAGTATGAATGGAAGCGTCAGTCGTATTATGTCTCGAGAAGTCGGGCTCTTTTGGATGGAGAAGGTCTCTGCAGAAGCAGTACTTCCTGAGCATGTAGTGCTTAATACAATGACTCTGGTTTCCGTACAAGTTGGTCCTCAACGCCTCCCCCACCATAGTGTAGCTGTTTCCCTGCTTCCTCATTTTCAACTCCAGCATCGCTCCGCCTGAGGCAAAAATGACATTTACTCAGTAACGACAGTCTTATACAGGCTTAGAAGACATGTACTTCACCATCAAAAATCTCACCCATTTAGGTAGCAGGTGCTTTAGTAAGTGTCTCCCAGACAGAGAAGGCTTGAAAAATGCATTTGCTTATTGTTACATATGTCTATGTATTTACGTAATATTAAGTTGTGCATCAGACACCATTGCAAGAGCAGTTTACTATGCAAGGAGAGATGATATAAAAGATTTGCAATATGTACTTTATAATAATTAGTATATTTTTTGCACTGAATGTGAATTATAGATTCTATATAATTTATAATATCTTGTAATCATATAATACCATGTACTTGTATAAAGAAGTTTTGAGTTAACATTTCTAATTGTCGAAGATGTATTGCTTGTTTACGTTGAGGGGCTGCCTTCATCGAGGGGTGAATATAGGGTGTGGGTGTAAGACCAGAAAAGTGATTGTAATCCTATTTCATCCATTGTGTTCCTATATTTTGGTATTAATTTACTCATAAGCATTAGGGGTGAATACTAAGTGATACTTTTGTGAATAGAGGAAGATCCATATTATGGGATTAAGGAAGATAAACTATTAAATTAGTTGGGTCACAGGACCATGCAGTGTTAATGTCTGTACTATTGTTTTACTGTAAATAAAATAAGTATTAGTTGTTACAAGCTGGTGTTACTTTGAATCCTGATTACACAAGTTAATGAAAGGTTTCCTTGGGTGTATTCTCACAATGTAATTATATTAAATGTCATCTTCAACTGTCAGCTGGAGGTAGCAAGGGATTGTCTACAGGATTACGGGATGTCAACGAAAATTTTTATTTTAGAATGTAAGTCTGATTAATGAGCCTAGGAATGGGAGAACTGCTGAAAGAGGATGAATATTCAGTAGTGGCCATTACACTGTGGAGTAAAATCTCCCACTTCATGTGAAGCAAATTTTCCTTAGCTGTGAGAATTGTTGTCTCCGTAAAACACGTTTCCTCATGTGGCGTTGGTTTCCCACTGTAAAGTCAGTTTACGTATCCAATAAAAAGCCCCCCTGTAAATCATGCTTCCCCTTTATGACGCAAATTTCCACCTGTAAAGTAAGTTGCCCCCTGTAAAACAAATTTCGCATCTGTGAAACTAGCCCCAGCTTTGAGGGGACTCGCATCTCGAGGGCATATTACCGGTATAAGGACCTACCTGGCTGTGTCTGGAACTCTAGAACATAAGTAAAGATCTGGAATGCCATCGAGCCTGGCTGAGTTGAGTTACTGGGGGTGACCAGTCGAGCACTCATGACCTGTAATCAGAACATTTGAGACATGTAATTAGAGCATTTAAGATCGGCCTGAAATCAGAGCAGCTAAGACCTACAGGTAGAGCATTTTAGGGCCTGTGATCAGAGCGTTTAAAATATGTAAGTTGAGCGATCAAAATTTGTAGTTAGAACACTCATGACCTATAATACGAAAACTCAGATGTTAAGGAAGACACTCAGGATGTATTGGCAGCAGTGTGTTAGTGTTGTGTTTATGTACATGCAACACATACTCTCTTACAGCGGCAAAACCCTAAGTTTGGCTTAAACAAGTATGCATTTAGGTCATGTGAACTTAGCATCTAGTTGCAAATAGATAGGTACAGTAAATAAGGGCCGGACAGTCAAATCCCCCCTCTCTTTTTCTTATCTCACAATCCTTCATACAACAACAGGAAAATTTCTTCAGTTTTAGAGGAAACGCAGTTTTATTTTGTTTCCGGGGGTTCCAGGGTTATCATCACTTGGGAATAGCTACTTTAATTCTACGTCTTTTTCTGTTTGTAAGGAATATTAGGACAGGACGTATGTATGTATGTATGTATGTATGTAATAAATTAGCTTGATCATACAGAGGAGTGTCTAGACAGAAATTGATGGGTGTTCTTGGCGATGGGTTATATAAATGTGAACACAATTAATATTCCCAGTTTAACATATGTTGAAAAAAGAGTCGCCCACCGCCGTCCATAGCTCACAATAATACATTGGAAGGCTCTCGGCAGTGACTCGTTGTACCAAAGGTGGGTGACCGTGTCAGCCTCCATGCAGACATTCTTGTTGTCTCTCCAGACGAGCATCATTAACTTTTTTTCGATCTTCGTTGCTGAAAAAAAAGACTAACTCACAACTACCACTGATAGAAGGAAGGTAGGAGAGCCTTGCAAGAATAGCTTTTTTTGTGAGTGTTGTTCTATTATCCAGTCCTCAAGTCTTCAGTTTCTAATTTTTACAACTTCCCCCCTTCCATATACTTTTGGCCTTCCTATGGTAACTAACTTTCCGGGGAAAATAAGTTGTTCAATAAAATGATTCCCTCAGACGACATGTTCTGTATCCTCATAGAATAACACAAACATCATCCAGACATAAATTTCTCGTGAAAAACCAAACTTATCTTCTAGATAGTTGCAAACAAAATTACCATTTTATTTTATTTTTAATTCTAAAATAAAAAAATACTAACCTTATCCAGGCGAAGCGGAACACAATCCGAGAATATTTTCATGCTTAAATTAATTTCTATAATGGCCGCCTCGGCGGCAGCGATAACTTTTGGGTCAGCTATACTCGCAGTTATGGACATCTCACACGCACAAAAATTTTCAGGAATGCTCACATCAGAGCAGATTCTGCTCTCTGGCACCTCGAAGAACAGACTCTGACCTCTTCTGGGTGATGCGGGCCTATGAGGTATAAGATGAATTGTTAGAGGCAACCACACATGTTGCAGGTCAGCCTTATTACTATAGTAATTTAAACTCTCAAGTGGAGGATACCTCGTGATATATCATGATAATAACTTAATGATGTGTCTAGTTTGAGAAAACCTAAGTATCTCCATGCTTATTTGCTCTATTAGTTAGTACAGTTTCTCTCAAAACCTATAAGTGAATGTTTATATAGTGAACTGTTAATTTACAAAGATAATTTACGCTTTTCTTATGGTAAAGATGTGGCCTTACCGTCTTGTGTTAGTGACAAAGTCTCCGTTGGCCAGACTTTTAAGTGTCTCGTAGATGTCCAAGTTAGAGGTTAGTCTTTTAGTGTTAGTGATGAGATTTTTCCAGGCAACAGGATACACCTTCTTGAACCAAGGAGGGAACACTGTATAGAAGAACGGAAGTTTCTCTTCCATTCGTCCCATGTATGTGTGGCGGTAAGGGCCATAACGAAGACCATGGTCACTAACGAGGAAGACGACAGTATTGTTCAGATGACCATCATTATGAAGTTGAGTCAGTACCCTTAGCAAGAGGCCATCAACGACCCTAGGCATCCTGAAGTGGTCATGCGTCAAGCTCGAACTCCAAAGAAAGGAGAAATATGGCACATCCCTGCACTCTTCGGCCATGGCCAGTGAGTAATCGTGCAACACCGACATGAGCAGCCTCGGCCCCGCACATACAGGATATTGAAAGCCTCTAAAGGGGTAGATACCATGCCCACCTCTTCGTATGGCCTGTCTGATTGAATGCCATGGATAAAAGTCAACAGGCTCATTATGAAACCCATGATGCTTGTAGGTAAAGATATTCGTCGAGGAAATATCCTCCCCATAGGCGGTCACATAACCTTCACTTGCGAAATCCTTCCACACTAGAGGACAATCGTCGAGATTTTTTATTTTTTTATTTGCGAGACATTCATGTTCGTTTAGCTCTGTGTGGGTATGTCCTACCACCATGGCCAAAGTATTGGGTAGAGTATTTTCACCTATTTTGGTGTAACCTCGAAAATCTAGGCCTCCGAGCTCCTCCGTGAGATACTGGTAAAAGTGAGGCATCTGACGTATGGAGTTGTAGCGAGCAACTCCGTCTATACCCAGCATCAACACACTCAGCTTCTCCGGATGTTCACTGCGACTACCATACTTCTCCTAAAAAGATGTATATATATATTATATATATATATATATATATATATATATATATATATATATATATATATATATATATATATATATATATATATATATATATATATATATATAGCATTGCACTGTCTTATTATCGTCAAAAAGGTTATTAATTGGTCAATTACGTATTTATAAATTCTTCCATTACTTATAATCACATATGGATGCTAAAAGTGTGTGTGTATTTGTGCTTCCAAGAAATGCACAAGACCTTGAATAATCGTCTTTTCTTCTCTATTCTCTTCTGTTGAATGAAGTAGTGAACATTCTGGTAGACCATCGTGTTGTTTCCTTGAGAGGAGTTGTAGCAAGTCACTGCAATCCCGTCTTCTGATATAGGCATTTTATTCTCGACTAAGGGAAGAACCTCCTTCAACCTGTCATGATAATTTTGAAATTCACTTATAATGTTTATTGTTATTACTTATCTTTCTGATGTTAAAAAAGATAGTAGTGGGGTGGATTAATCCAAAATTATACAGAGCTGACAGAAAGTGTGAAATTTGGCATGAAATTACTTCTGCCATCTAGAAACATTTCCAGGGTGGGGACAAGCTGGTGCCCTAGTTTGGCGGCAATTTTGAGCAAATTCAAAAGGGGTGCCTCGATTCCACAGCCCAAACCATAAAATGCCATATCTCAGGAACTACTGGGCCGATTTTGTTGCTCTTAGGCTCGTTTCTTATAATTTTCAGGATGCCTGGTCAATATATCTATGTTTCGGAATGATTTGAGGTCAGGTCACATGATAAGTTAGGTCAAGGTCATTTTTACCCAAAAACACCTATATTGCTCTATCTTTGAAACCGCTGGGCCAAATTTTATGAGATTGGGCTTATTTCTTATAGTTTTGAGGATACCTGATCGATATAATTAGGTATCGGAATAATTCAAGGTTGCCGTCACATGATAATTCAACGTCAAGGCCAAGTTCATTGGCATGGACCAATCATTGTATAGTCTGGCTAAACGAATCAAGTGAAAGTACTCAGAGCATCTTGGTGATGACAAGTATGTTGAGATGATGGAAGGGCTTCATATTGAAATGGTGCTGTAGGAGATCATTGACAAGTGACTTGGGGGCTCAGGGTGAGGTCAAGCTTTGGATGAAGCAGGCTAATTCGGCGTTGAGTGCCTCTCACGTGAAAAAGAACTAGATACCCACACCAAGTGTCCCTTACTGCTCTTCACATATTTAGGGGAAAGGTGTACTCAATGTCACAAGGCCAAGCGGGGTCAACATCGCGAGAATCGTGGTGTGATTCCAGGGTCAAAGCATATCCACCATTCCAATACAGGATCCAGACAATGGATCTCCAACTAATGTACTGCTCAAAATAAGAACATAAGAACATAAGAAATAAGGAGTCTGCAATAGGCCGGCTGGCCTGTGGATGGCAGCTCCTGTCGAGAGTTACTACCACTCTCTATCATACATGAATCTATCCAGCCTCCCTCTGAAACTTTCCAGCGTTCCAGCACTTACTAGAAAGTTGCTAAGCTTGTTCCACTCGTCCACCACCCTATTTGTAAACCAGTTCCTTCCTATCTCCCTCCTAAACCTAAACTTATCCAACTTAAATCCGTTGTTCCGAGTCCTATCCTGCTCGGATATTATAAGAGCTTTATCTATATCACCTTTATTGATTCCTTTCACCCACTTGAATACTTCTTTCATATCTCTCCGCACTCTTCGCCTTTCTAGGGGATGCAAGTTTAGTTTCTTTAACCTATCCTGATATGGAAGGTATATAAGTCCCGGAATCATTTTCGTCATTCTTCGCTGCACCGACTCTAGTGAATTGATTGATATCCATTCTGTAATAAGGGCACCAGAATTCAACCGCATAATCGAGGTGCGGCCTGACTAGCGCAAGATTTAGTTGCAATAAGACCTCTGCACTCTTATTACTTACACTTCTAGATATAAAACCCAATTCTCTGTTTGCCATATTTCGAACATTAACGCACTGTTTTCTAGGCCGTAGGTCTTGGCTTACAAGTACCCCTAGGTCACTTTCACAAGTCGACTTCTCTAGGTTGATGTTGTTAAAGCCTTATACATTGACAGTATTTGTTCTTCCAATATTAAGTACGCTGCACTTGCTGGTGTTGAATTTCATTTGCCATTTTTCAGACCACTCCTGCAGTTTATTTAAATCCTCCTGTAATGCATTTGCATCCTGCCCTGAATTAATCTGCCGCCCTATTTTGGTGTCATCCGGAAACTTGCTTATGTTACTGCTGATCCCAGTATCTAGATCGTTTATGTAGATTATGAACAAGAGTGGGCCTAGTACTGACCCCTGGGGAACCCCACTGGTTACATGACCCCACTCAGATTTAACACCATCTACGCTGACTCTCTGCGTTCTATCGGTGAGCCATGATTTTATCCAATTTAAAACTTTCTCCTCGATACCATGAACCTTAATTTTTCTCAGAATCCTCTGATGCGGTACTCTGTCAAATGCTTTGCTAAAGTCTAAGTAAATAACATAGTAATTTTCGTCATTATCTACTACCTCGAAGACTTTCCTAAAAAATGTCAGCAGATTTGTTAGACAAGATTTTCCCTTTGTAAACCCATGTTAAGAGTCGTAGATTAATTTGCTTTTCTCTAAATGTGATCGGATGTTATCTGCTATAATTGATTCAAGAAATTTCCCCACTACTGACGTCAAACTGATCAGCCGGTAATTTGACGCTGATGCTCTGTCTCCCTTTTTGAATATGGGTACTACACCTTCCTGTTTATGAGGCGGTCCGGTAGTCTGTTCCCTACACTCTTTCAAGACTCGAGGGAAAATTTCATCCGGCCCTGGGGATTTTGTCTTCTTTAGTTTATTAATCTTCTAAAGAACATCCTCTTTTCTGATAGTGATATTCTTTAATTTATCTTCTTCCTTTCCCTTAAATATCAGTTCCACCTCTGGAATTTCATCCCGAATTTCCTCTGTGAAAACTGATAAGAAGTAGCTGTTCAATGCTTTGCTTATTTCTTCACAGCCATTTATCACTTCTCCCCTCCCTGGATTCTCTTGCTATTTTGATTTCATAGTCTCTCTTTGCTTTCCTTACATTTTTCTTAACATTCCTAGATAGTTCATTATACCTATTTCTGAGCTGCTCCTCCTCCCCCCCTTTAATTTCTTATATATTCCTTTCTTTATTCCAATGTCATGTTTAAGTTTTCTGGTCATCCACCTTGGCTCATTCTTATTTGACCTAATTTTTCTGTATGGTATATTTTGTTCTTGTGCTTTATGTAGTATACTAGTGAATATATTATAGTCATGATCAATTGTTGTGTCATCTATGACCTCACCCTTTCCTACTGGTGACTGACGTGATTGTTCCCAGGTGACCTCACCTAGGTACCTTCTTAACCCCTGATAATCCGCCAACCGAAAGTTTGGGACTCTGACCATATTGTCATTGTTTTTCGTTTCCCAATTTAGGGTGAACCTGATTTCTCTGTGATCACTGTTACCTAGTTCTTCCCGTACTGTGATGTCTCTGATAATATTTTCTTTATTTGTTAATACTAGGTCTAATATATTGTCACCTCTAGTAGGTTCTGTAATTAGTTGTTTCAAAATATTTTCCTGTACTGCGTCTAGGAAGTCTTCAGATTCATAGTCACCTACAATGTTGTCCCAGTCAATATTTCTGAAGTTGAAATGGCCGCGAGAGTGAGGAGATCCCAGCATATCCACATCTTGGAAATATTTCTATATGGCAAAAATTAATTTAATGTCAAATTTCACAGCTTCTGACAGCTCTGTATGATTTGGGTGTATTTATGCATAATCCAACGCCACTGTAGGGGACCTCAGGTGTTCACAGTTGGCATATTGGAGAACATTAATTGAAGCCAATGGACTCTGTGAACACCTTCTCCACACACACACACACACACACACACACACACACACACGCTTCCTTCATCCTTTAATTCTCCAAACTTCAGGCCAATTTCACTTACATCCTGTATGTGTAAAGTCCTTGAAAGAGTTGTTCTAAACCGTCTCATGTTTCAAGTCAAAGACAAACTCGCCCCTAATCTGTACGGGTTCATGCCCGGGCGTAGCACACAGACATGCTTTGCAGAATATCTTGTTCACTCAAAAGATAAGACACAAACAGCCTTCATAGACCTTAAATCAGCCTTTGATGTAGCTAATAGAGACATTATACTTGAGCAACTAGCTAATTTTGGCATACAAGGTAACCTCCTGACATGGATAAAGGGTTATCTGTCCAACAGGTATGCCAGAGTTCTGTTTAGGGGAGTTAAAAGTACCAGAATGAGATCATTTGAGCTGGGCACGCCTCAGGGAGGAGTGTTAAGTCCTATGCTCTTTAATATACTGATGCACAAGCTTATTGCTGACATTCCAGTTCAGCCAAACGAAGCCGTAATATGCTATGCTGATGATATCTGCATTATGACACAAACCAAACTCAGGCTCCAAGCCTTGCTGGATGTATTTGCTCGGAGAACTGTTGAATGCGGTCTCATAATATCTGTTGACAAGACGAGGGTCCTCAATCCTCGTCCTGCTCACCCTCTGCCTCTTGACTATAACATTAACAGCATGCCCTTGGAACTATGTAGCTCCTATAAATATCTTGGAATTTGTGTGAATGATGCAAACTTTGTCAGCAACCTTCGTGACAAACTAATGCAGCGCATTAAACCCCTCAGAACCCTTGTTGGCAAGGGCTATGGAATTAACATCACCTATGCTCGTACTTTCTATCTTCACTTCATTCGTTCTGTAGTTGACTATCATGCTCTCCATCTTGTGACTATTCCGCCTAAACAACTCAACAGCCTTGAGGTAGTGCAAAATGAAGCCATGCGCATCATCCTAGGTTGCCCAAAATCAACCAGAATTGTAAACATGAGGAAAGAGCTCGGACTGCCCTCCCTATCTGAGAGGATAGCCCTACTTAATACCATGTTTTGTGTCAAAGTTTTGAAGAACAATAGTTCTCAAACTACAACTCAAACTGAGTTGATGTTCTATCTAAGTAATCCCGACCATCTCGCCAACCTTTCACAAAAGACTCTCTTTGGGGCGTGGCTTCATAAAAGTGTTGCAGATCTCCTGAAACGGAATGTCCCAATCACCCCAGACGAACCTATTAATGCCATTCCTCCTTGGCTGGACATATCAGTTCCTATTAATTACACTCCTGTTGGTAGTAAGCAAATGTTAAACACCGATGTGGTGAGATGTGTCACACTAGAAACTATTAACAGACACATAGAGAGTCTTAAATCAAGTGAATGTTATGCTTTTACTGATGGCTCTGTGCAGACAAACACAGGTAGAACAGGCTGTGCAATTGTAATATATAAAGAAAA